CTGCGTCTCTCTCTACCATGAATTGTGGTGGAAGTGGACAAAAGGACACTGTTATTTGATTGAAGTTTTTGTAGTTTATTTGTATTTAGTTTGGAATTGTTTTATTGTGTTTGACAAAGTGATACCACTATGTGTCTCTCTCTTGTTATTTGCATCTGTCTCTTTTTATTGGTTCACTGTTGTGACATAAAGGGCACACTTTCACAACACATTTATTTAGTTTTCTCACGTATGTTCCAAATGACACATTTAGCTGTATTTAAGTGTTTTGACAGAGTTGACCCTTTAATAAGTCATTTGGCTTGATGCTTCCTGACAGATTGCCTCTCTCCCAATGCTATTCATGAGTATTCACTTTAGCTATTGGCTGGTCTGTGTGTAAAGGTCAAATGTGAATTATGTTGAGCTATACACAGCCTTTCTTTCATCACCTTTTTCTCAAGAGATTTAAACAACAGGCTAAATAAAGACACTGCATCAGAGAACCTGTTTTGTTGATAACCTGAACATGTAATGAAACACAATTATGGCTGCTATGCTCTTCACTCAGAAGCGTACCTGTTGAACTCATTCAAAAATTGAATCTTTTTTTCATACATACGTGAAGCCAGTAGAGTTGCAAACATATACATATTTCTGCTTTTGCGTCTGCTTGGTAATTTGGTGGATAAAAGTGAACACACGAGGGTGGGTGAAGTGGTGCTGCTCAGGTTGTGGTCATGCAGATGCAGCTTTTTTATTTTGCTGGCCAACACATTTTGTAATAAAATGAGCTCAGACCTCTTCAAACATACCTTAATTATACTTTCTATCAAAAAAGATACTCAACCTCTGTAGTTTTCCACTTATGCTTGAGTTGTGAGTAGCACCTGTCTCATGTTGTTAGTCGAATACCATTTAGTCAACATAAACACAGTCTTACTAACATTTGACTGTACATTAAGTTACTCACTGTACTTGTATCTGAACTTGACAGATATCCTTCAGAAATAAAATCTTTGCAGCATTATGCATGATCAGGTATTTTTGGTGTCTTCAGCGTCTCTGTTAAACTTCAAAAGATTAGGGGTTAGGGGGTTAGCATTTATTGGTGCTGTTTAATCCTAGGACGGTTTTCTCTTAGAAAGCTGCTGATCAAAAACAGAACAAAAGATGAGTTGAGGTCTGGCCATTACTGAGCTCCAACATCACCATATATGCTTATACTAGAGTATTGTGCTAACAACGTGGTCCTTCTATAGCTCCCCTCCCAGATCCTGCTGTGTTTGCTGTTGTGGTTCACATAATCGTATAGATTAACTTGAATTCATTGTAAAAGAGCATGCCAAGAAAATCCCAGAGATGTGAAAGTAAAGTCTAATGAAATGAATGGTAAGAGCAACAGACTCATTTAAGAAAACTGCTACGTTGATTCTACTCATGGTATATCATCTTTGCACTGGCAACTATCTTGCCTCTGAGGCGTTTTTACATTCAGCATTTAAATATTGGATTTTTGTCCCTAAGGGAAAACTGAATTTTTTCAACATGTTTAAAAATAGAGAAGCAGTCTCTATCGTCTGTTAAACTAAGCCACCATCACAGACACATCCTATTTCAAGCTGTACATGTATATTTACAATGTTTACAGTAGCAAAGTGTTGTTGGTTTTTCCTTTTTGTTGTCTTTTTTTGGAGATCTTGGCATATATCTAAAAAATAAAGCCGTGGTAGTGTTGTCAAAAATATATGATTCCAGTGTTACATGAATCCTGTCCTTCAAGCAACCTCAATGCGGTTATCCTGGGATTTCTGGGATTTCTGAAGATGGATGTCTTGTGTTTCACCAAAGTAGGACAGAGTTGTACTTCAAAACAATGGCACTCGGCAGTACTTGCATGAGCAGAATATTATATTTTAACAATATTCTCTCAACAAGCTTCAATTGTGGATACTTTAATAGCATTCATAGTAAATGGTAGACTTGTCAACGTTGATCAACGCATATCATGAAAAGTGTTTTCTATTGTTTTAGCATAGGCTTGGATTCATTGAGTTATACAGATTGTACCATGGGACTATGCTGGAGTAACTGCCCTCAATGGGCTTTGAGTTTGTTAAAATAACAGATCAACTAGCGCAGTCACTAGTTACTTAGCAACAACCATGGAGCAGGATGGTGCACTTTGTCAGGGCTTTATCAAAAAAGTGTCTCACCGAACAATTGTTTGAGCTTTAAATACTTGCAATGCGTTTTAAATCAGAATTACTGTAACTCATGCTACTCCGAAGCTACAGTATATCTGTGAAAGTGTCCCACTCTGTCTGTATAACTTTCCTTCAAAGTTCTCTGCTGACGGAGGGCTAATGGCTCTGCCTCCCAGGGATAGAGGTCATTATTTTCAACCATTCCGTTTCAGGGGACAACATCAGTGACTTTGATGTCATTTGCAGTCTCCCTTTGGGGAGGCTTAGCCCATTATCACATGCAGGTAAACGTGAGACTTGATTGGATTAATGTCAGACGCTATATTTAATTGCTCATTAAAACGTATTTAGTGATGATGAGTCCCTAACAGCCATTAACAATCTTAAAGAGCCAATCAGAGGGTATCAGCACTATAATATCCATGATAATGAGTTGGTTAATAAGGTTGATTGGCAGGGACCAATCACAGCCCAAGTGACACTGCCAAATCCTTACTCCATTGGCCAGGTTACATCCTGCCGTCTTAACAAGGATCTGAGCTGTCACGCTAACAAAAGCTTAACAAAGGTCTGTCCCCCTGTGGGCCGCTGCAATATTGAATGCTTGTGTTGGACTGTGTCCTTTACCCAGCAGCCAAGAGTGCAGGATCCACGGATGGCAGCACTGAGCAAGGTTTTGGTTCCTTTAAATCATGCTAACTTATGTTTCCTCACGCCTTCTCTCCTGCAGAGTTCCAGAAATTGTTCCCCTTCTGCTATCTGTTAGGATCTTTTGAGGTTCCCTTCCGCTATCTCCTATGATCCCTTAAATGCACCACAGGGAGATGAGGAGTGAGGAGAGAGAAGTCTCCTCAAAGACTCATGGAGTGAGGAAACAAAGTATCCTACACAGATATGTTTAACCCATTGATTGTGGTTTAACCATGTGGCACACAGTTTGAAAAACATCATACAGTAAGTAACTGATTTCAGATTTAGCTGCTCCTTCTCCTCGATCCCAGCATTTGTATATCCTTGCTGGGAAGAGCTAAGACTCATGAAGACACGCAAGTGAATGAAGCTAGGACACATGTTAGCACAAACTATTCCCAGGGTGCTATAGAAAAAAAGCATTCATTTCTAAAGCAATAACTATCCCATCACAAAACCATCATTCAGGTCTGACTGATTTAGTGTCCTCTTAAAGTTCGGTCCTACACTAAGATTCAAATGGAGAAATGTTCTTCGAGGAGTTATATTCATAATACTTTAAATCTGTTTTTCAGAAATGTCACCCGGCTGCACAAAAGTCTAGCTGGTGTTCATATGCTAATGTCTTGTGATGGATATGGTGAGTTTTACTTTTGCAAAGGCTATAATTTAAGCAGAAAGTAGGTGTGACATTTTTCAGATGTTCTCTGCCCCTCTTCCTCTCCTCCTTCTGTTCCCGGTCCTCACTTTTTTATATCTGTGATTATTAGTTAGGAGAAAAAGTTCTCTGTCCTTCTCTCTTACACACACACAAAGACCCACACCCAGTGAATATTGGTTTTTATGTTAAAGTATGTGTCTCCAGCCAGAGTGTGAAGCCTAGTGAAGGCAGACATGACAAACGACTTTGGCATTTAACATGACAGACGCCCTCTCTCTCCCCCCATGTCCCTCTCTCTCTCCCCCTGTCCCCCTCTCTCTCCCCCTGTCCTGCTCCCTCTATTCATGCGCGTGTGGGCCGATGAGAGTGTGTGTTGGAGATTAAACCCATGGCAGACACAAAACCGGAACCAGTACGGGAAAGTTGAATAATGAAAACATGTTATTCATCAGAGTACTAAAAGTGCATTTTGAAAAATGTACCCCTGTCCCCATGTATTGTTTTATTGAGCAATATTGATATGGTGCAAAGTAGTGTTCATCGGCAGTATATTTTGTCTTTTTGAAAAAGGGTGTAATTTTGGGTCTTGAACTAATCACTAATATAATTCCCCCGGAAGAAGCATACAACTGCAGCATGTTGGTGCAAACCTTGGATTATAGAGTGTTTTGATTCAGAAGTGTATAGCCAGAGGCTTGTAACCAAATTGGGATTTTTTTTCTACTGCAAACTCAAAAATACAAACTCTTTCTGAAGAAGGGCCAAGGTAACACACCCTTCCATCCTTACTATGGCATTTTCCACTTGATTGACATACAGGTAAGCCAGTCTGAGATCTCATATTTTCTAACACGCATTTCACCACGAATGCACGGTCAACCGCGCCAGCTGCAAATCACCGGTGAGCTGATTACCTAGTTAGCCTTCCAATTTATACAATTCTACTAAAGAAAGGGTATAAAATTGACGTAATGACCAACAATGTACTGAGTTGTATTGTGCCATACGGGTTCATGCATTTATGCAAGGTACACCAACACAAGGTATACTCAGTATATATATAAATAAATATATGTTTAGCATTCTTAATGTAGGTAGACAGATCCTCCCTACACGCAGATCACGAAGACTGCGTGGGCCCTCACCTCGCGGAGGGGGCCTCACCTCCTCATTTGAAGCGCAAATGCGATTCAATTAGTGTAAGCACGCCACAGTTTCTCCACCGCTGCAAGGTTCCGGTGCTCGTAGTCCCCCCCACTCGCGACACGGAGGGCCTCACCACATAACTTTGGGCAGGGGCAGCCCTGTAGGTAGATCACTTTGACTTGGTCATTTTAAAAGTAGCTCCCAAGCTGAAAAAGTGTGGGCACCCCTGCTAGTGTTTTCTTACCTTCACATAGTGCCTTTTTCTCCATCTGTATGTACAGTATGTTACTAAGATGTAATTCATTTGTATTTCTTACCTTTACAGACCGGTCTGTGGTCACTCCAGGCTGTGAAGACTTCCGCCACTCTCTGGCAGCTGATGGTTTTACTGCCCTGAAGAACATAGTCCTCTCCACAAGTGAACTGCACCACAGACTCAATGCTACACACACAAACACATAATCCACACACAAAGGGGACACAGAGTCAGACAAGAAAAGATATAGAGACACAATATTTGTGTAAATGCTCATACTCTACCTGCATGTGTGTGTATCTATATGTGAATACAAATATGCTTGTGTGAACATTGTACCTGAAATCGCTGCCATGCCGCTTTCCATTCTCTGGCTCTCCTGGGTCAGGGCAGGAGTTAGACGCATGTTTCACACCTCCTTCATTTACTACACAGAGAGACAGACAGGTAGAGAGCCAGGCACAGACAAGTTACTATTAGGCACAGACAAAGCAACCACTCTCCCTTGAGGGATATACGTCTGAACTGTCTGTCATTCTGGTTGTTGCACCAGACGTCTCCAGTTTTAGTTTAGTTTTTGGAAGCCTGCCTGCCTGGTCACTTTTCCACTTTAGAGGGGGCAGAAACAGGTGGAAGGAGAAACACGTACAGAGCAGGCGATAAAGGGACAGACGGGTTAGACAGAGAGTTAGGCAGACAGGGACAGCAGCACTACACTCCAAATACAATCCTTTTTTTAAAAAAAAATGTTTTATTGAGTCAGGCACAATGACTTTACATTTATACAGTCAATATTTTTATTTATTTTCCCCTATTTTTGCTAAGATAGATGCAAAGGTTATACTGTCTTTAGTTTTCCTCTTCAACATTCGGTGGCCAGGTAGTACTCCAAAAATGGCAGTTTCTGCACATGGTGTCAATACCACGTCCAAGGCCTCAGTAAGGTGTTTGAAAATACTTGTCCAGTATCCTTGTAGGCGAGGACAAGACCAAAACATATGAGTCATGTTTGCTGGTGACATGTGGCATCTGTTACAGGTATCCGTAACATTTGGGTATATTTTGGAGAGTTTAGAGTTGGTGTAATAGATACGGTGGACAACTTTTAGTTGTATAAGATTAAGCCTGGCACAGGACGTACACTGTCGCTAATGCGCCATCACAGACCTCATCATCTATAGCTTAGACTAGTTCCTCTTCCCAATCTGGTTTGATTTTACCAAGCGATGTTTCTGTGAGACGGGAAACATCATTTTGAAATCAAACCTTTTTCGATTGTTAGAGTGTCCAGAATTGAGTCAATTATTGAATCCGGAGGGATATTGGGGAATGAAGGGTTGTTTAGTTTAACCCAGTTTCAGACCTGGAAGTAGCGAAATAGATGAGTGCCTGGAAGGCAACATTTGTCAGAGTTGGCTAAAGCTACCGAAAACATTGTTAATGTAAAGGTCCCTTACTCTGATAAGACCTAATCTCTGCCACATAGAGAAGGCCCCATCAGTGTGAGGGGGGAGAAAGAGATGGTTGTTGCGAATGGGACTATGTATAGAGGATCCACAGAGTCCATGAGCCTTTCTGAATTGGGATCAAATTCTTAGGGTGGAAACAACAATCGGGTTATTCGAATATTGAGTTGGCCGGCTGGGTAATGTAGATGTAAGCAAAGCCAAGAGTGAGGTATTAGGACAGGATTTGGCTTCAAGCTCACACCAACTCAATGTTGGTTCCTTAGTCCATATAATTACTTTGTGGATATTGGCTGCCCAATAGTAGTGTCTTATATTTGGAAGTGCTAATCCTCCTGTAGATCTATGCCTTTGTAAAAGCTCTTTCCTAATTCTAGGAGTCTTCCCTTGCCATAAAAAAGAGGAGATTAGTGTGTCTATTTTACGAAAAAGTGATTTTGGTAGGAAGACTGGCAGACATTGAAAGAGGTACAGAAAGCGAGGGAGAACGTTCATTTTGATACAGTTTACCCTCCCAGCGATAGTTAAATGTAAATTATTCCACCTTTCCAAATCATATTTGAGCTTGTCAATTAGTGGTGGGACGTTATCTTTGTCCACTTATATTCACGCCTAAATACTTAAAATTACTCCTAGACATCTTGAAGGTGATGAGTCTATCGGGGATCTGAAGGGCCAGGTCATTTACGGGGAAACACTCACTCTTGGAAAAGTTTAGCTTGTACCCTGAGAAGGTTCCGAATCGGGTTAACATATCTATTATCTGAGGAATGGTAGATATAGGGTTAGAAATGAACAATAGTAAATCGTCAGCGTATAACGAGAGTATGTGTTCTGAAACATATCTGGTAATTCCTTGTGTAAAGCTGGCCGATTTAAGCGCAATTGATAGGGGTTCGATTGCCATGGCGAATAGTAACGGGCTTAGAGGGCAACCCTGGCGAGTACCTCTACCTAGTGTAAAATATTGAGAACTTATCCCGTTAGTATTCACTGAAGCCTTGGGTGAAGAGTATAACAATGCTATCCACGACACAAATTTGGATCCGAGGCTGAACCTCTTAAGGACCTCAAATAGAAAGCCCCACTCCACCCTGTCGAACGCTTTCTCTGCATCCAATGAGACCACCACCTCTGGTGTCTCCTTGGATGCAGGAGAGAGGAGGATGTTGAGAAGGAGTGTTGGCCTTTCATAAATCCAGTTTGGTCTAATGATGTTTGGCGTGACTGATTCAAGGCGCATGGCTAGTATTTTAGCCAGGATCTTATAGTCCGCATTCAGAAGGGAGATGTCTGTTTCATGCAGCAGCTGATCCAGTAATGAGTGACCCGGCCGACAGTAAAAATAAACATATTTATAACTAGTTTAGGTAGTTTGAGAGGTATCTCCGTCCTGTCAGATTAGACTTCACTCGCGTTTATGTCCATATCGAGAGAAAGATAAATAATCTGAATTCAGTGTGCAGTTTACTTTGACGTGAGCAGCATAGGTGGGGAGAGGCGGGGCTATTGCCTCATTATCATTATTATTACCTCATCATTATCAGAAAATGATCGCATAGGGCGTACACACGGAGCCGTTGGACCCCCCAGAGCGTTGCGTATGCCGTTCTATCCACCTTGGGACCCGTTATCGTTTCCGCAGTCGTTTAGTGCCGTATTCGGTCATCCTCGTGTGGCCGAACGGTCTATATGACACTAAACAGTAACGCAAACGACCGTTTTCGTCCTTGTGTTGGCGGGGCCCACTTGACATTAACACTCACACAGACAACAGATGGACCTGTACAAATACTGCAACATCACAACACGATGCATCTGTGCTCTGTCTCTCTCTCTTATACATTACTGCTGTTGAGAGTAAATGTATGTACAGTATATTTTCTTTCTTTCTTTCCTGACCTGTCTTTGGTATTTTTAATCTTTACCTGTCACTCACATTTCTCCTTCCTCCCTCTATATAAATAACCCCACAGCTATATTTTATTGGCTTTCCTGAAATGACACTACTGTACAGAATTGTTGATTTCCATAACCTCAGACCTATTCGTAGTCTACTTTTTTCTTTAAGCATTACTTTTGAAAACTTTGAAGAACATAGCTGTTGGGTTAACTTTGAGCAATGTGTTTGTGTGTAGGTGAGCAAATAGGCAAAAAGGTTATGTGCCTTAGTATTGCTGTAAGCTAATGCAACACATAAATAACTGTATTCCCTTCCAACAGCTTTTCCAATTTAGCTCAAAACACACTTTATATTCAAAACATTTGTCAATGTTTGTTTAATGTTCTTTTATTTTTAATTTCCTACTGAAAGGGATGTGTCAAGTTCCACAGAGCAGTTTGTTAAAAATTGGCTAACAACAAAATGATGAAAGTATTACAGCATCTTTATGAGTTTTGGTACATTAATGTCCTTTTTTCTCAATTTAACGCCCCACTTGATGGTATTTTTTGAATGTCTTAATTAGTTAATACGGAAGAGGATTAGGGCCACATGATTTTTTTTTGGGAGGATTTGAAAAAAAAAAAACGTTTTTTTTTGTTCTGAGAAAAAAATCAGAATTCTGACTTTAATCTCAGAATTCTGACTTTTTTCTCAGAATCCTTGCCGTGGATTGAAGCCCTATTCGCGGGGACGCGCAAAGGTGACGTCATCGCCTGTATTGAGCGTTCGCCGTTTTCTAAGCTTTTTTCACCCTTTTCAAAGCTTTTTTCTCTCTTTTGAGTGATATATCAGATTAAACAGCAAACGGCTGAATAAATAATGTGCATACAATTGCGAGGAGGCTCGTTTTAAGGACACGTTTCTCAGATCTGTCACAATCTTCGTATTGGAATAAACTTACGTTTTTGAGTGTATAGTACTCTGTTATATTCCTCCTTCCTACAGAACAGACAATGACAGGATAATATGTGATTTGTCAGTATAGTCCTATTTCTTAAAACCTTCTCTGTTGTTTAAGTGTCTGATAACCACGAATAGTAAGCAATGATATAACAGTAATGATCACATATGATCATGTCAGACACTGTGTTATTTTCAATCAAGCCTAAAATATAATGTGTTCAAACTGGCTTCACTCACTTGAATTGCTCCTTTGAATATCATGTTTATATATTGCTACTCAACACATGTTTGTATTGTAATGCCACTCATATTTTTTTTAAATTGTATTTTAAAGTGACATTGAATGCTTTGAAAGGTGCCCTAAAATAAAGTGTATTATTGATCTTATATCTGTGCCTCTATTACATTACATTTAATTTTCTATCACACTATTAATGTTCCTTATTTTAGACTAGGTTAATCCTGGTGTCAATAGGGAAGATCTGCACTGTTCTCTACATAACATGTTCAGAGCAGGTATTTCTCCTGCCGGATTTGGAACCCCCCCTATATCTTTCTCCAGGATAGTCACAACTTCACCAAAATCACACTGATGCTTGCTGTTCCCCTCTAGGTTGTGCTCACAAAAGCATTTTACTCTGGGCCCTGCAGGTGAAAAACTAAAGAGGGGCTTCAAAATCCGGCAGCACCAACACCTGATCTGCCGGATTTTGAAGCCCCTCTTTAGTTTTGCACCTGCAGGGCCCAGAGTAAAATGCTTTTGTGAGCACAAACTAGAGGGGAACAGCAAGTACCAGTGTGATTTTGGTGAAGTTGTGACTGTCCTGGACAAAGTTGTAGGGGGGGGGGGGGGGTGCCATATCTGGCAGGAGAAATACCTGCTCTGCTGAACATGTTATAGAGAACAGTGCAGATCTAAAATAAGGAACATTAATAGTGTGATATAGGCACAGATATAAGATCGATAATACACTTTATTTTAGGGCACCTTTCAAAGCATTCAATGTCACCTTAAAATACAATAAAAAATAAAATATGAGTGGCATTACAATACAAACATGTGTTGAGTAGGAAACCACAGAGGAAAATTACATTCAAAGGAGCAATTAAAGC